GATTGAGCGGTGAGGGGGGGGGGCTGTGTATACTACGTGTGCGTGTGTCCTAGTCCAGCCGCAGCAGCCCCCCTTGGCACTTTCGTCGTCGTCGGCATTATACCGCGCGCCGTGTCGTATAATCAGCCGTTCTCCGTAATTGCCCTCCGGCCGCCGCATTCGACTGCTACCAGCGCCTCCCTGATTTATACTCGCGTCCTCTCGATACTACTTGGCTTTTATACTCGCATCGACGCCCCTCCCCGGAGAGCTTAAATCTAACCACCCCAGCCCCACCCCCTTGGCCTGATGCACTAATGAGTAAGAGGGGGGGGGTCACGCGAAATTAGAATGAATTTTGCCGCGCGGGGGTTTGTTACCCAATGTGTAAAAGCTTTCGAGTAATTTCGAGAGAAGTTTTGGCAGGCGGCGTTAATGGGCAAAGGGTGGCTGTGGCTGCACGCGTGTTATATATGGGGCTGTGATGGCTTTTTTACGACTGCGTGTGCGAGAGTGCGTTTACGCGGATATGGGCTCTTGTGGGATTTTTTTCTTTTTTTTTTTTTTTTTTTTTGTCAAGGGAGGGATCAGTGGTGTGGCGTTTTAGGACCATTCAAACTTTTTACAAAATAAAAGAGAAAAATCTGAATTTAGTTTTAAAATTTTTTTCAGAGCCAAAACAATGAGAATTTCTTTTCATTCGACTCGCAAAGTTTGCACTGGTACATATGTAAATTTGCGTTGGAATAACTGTACAGGAAAATACACGATTTCCATCGAGTACGCGTATTTGCGAGGCAGCGAAAATTCGTGATTTCATTATTTATTTATTTCATTATTTCACAATTTACATGTTGAGGAAAAAAGAAACAAGTATGATGTATAAATATGTTCCATATGAGCGCAGGTGTTAGAAAAATCCCAAAAATTGATTTGAAAAATAACCAGTAGCCTATATGAACCCAACGCGGCTAATCACCGGCACTGCTTGCCAACGACTTGGTTTCGAATAAACAACAGAATCCCTTTTTATACACTTACAAAAAAAAAAAAAAAAAAAAAAAAAAAAAAAAAAAAAAAAAAAAAAAAAAATGGTAAAAGTATGCACGGTAAGTGCATTTTACTTGTCTCCCAGGGCGAGGCGCTAATTCTGAGTGCAAGTTCAACACTATATGCAAGGTGGTGTGTTGTACCACCCCAAGTGCAGAATGTATGTATACACGTGCAAAAAATCTACGTAGATATATATATATATATATATATATATACCCAGCCGTATCTGTATAGCATCCGATTGCTCGTCCCGAAGTTTTAGAACTGGTTTATTGTTAGTTTAGCCACGAGTTTCAAAGTTCGGCGCAACATCAGAGAAATTCCTGCCGTGTGGAACACACCCACCCACCCAACGACGGCTCTTCTCCTCACCGCGAGGAGTTTGGCTGGTTATATAAAACCAGTGTGTGTATGTGAGTCCTAATTTTATTCGTCCTCTGCAAAGATAGAGATAGAGGGAGGGGAAGCGGAGCGGCAAAACTAATTACGTACGTGCACGCCAGCACAACGGGGTTGGGGAGAAGGGGGGGGGCAGGTTTTCTGGGTCGGCGCGGGCAAAAACGAGGCTCGGCGAAAAACTTAGCCGGATAAGCGAATTGCCAATGCCGCGCGCCCGCGGCCACATGGATATATAACGGCGAGCAAAAAAAAAAAAAAAAAAAGGAGTCCTTGGCATCGGGGAAGGTTTCGCCGGGTTGTTACACGGCCAGACAATCGTTCCGGCGCCCCGGGGGAGGATGCAAAAAATAAAAGTTGGTCCCGCGTTTACCTGTGTGTATGTGTACACACGTGCATGGGCGCGTCCCATATTCCGTTGGCCCCAGCCGCGGGCCGCAGTTACCTTAACTTGTAAAATGCAAAACTAGGGGTTGCCGTTGTTGTTGTTGCTGGGCTCAGTCGAGCGGCAGTCCATTTCTGCGGAAGGGAAAAAAGATGCGACGGGGCACTGTATACTCCTCCTCCTCCCTTGCCCCAATGTATCTATATATATACAGAGGTGGATAACAGAAATCCTCTTAACGGTCGAAAATAACCAAAGCCATTTGCTGTGCCACGAAGACGGCGGTGGATAAATCGCGTCGTCCTCTCGACGTGCTGGGGACTGTACGTGTATAGTACGCGGAGGAGGGAGAAATACCTCCTCGTAATCCCGTCGAATAATGCGATGGCATCCGTGAATTTGCGATACCTTAAACGCTCCTCTCTCTTCCCCCCGATAGCTCCGTCGCTCGGAAGTAATGCCGCTGCAGCTCCGGTGCTCGTGTGTTTTATTACATCGGATACGCAACCCTCGGCTACACCGGGTGTACATATATATATACACGTGCAAGCGCATCTGCATTGTTTTTCGCTTCCTCATCCCTTCCGTTCCGATACCCCTCTTCATCTTCTTCTTCCTTTTGCGCCCCTGCTCCGGGGGGGGGGGAGCCACATCCATATCCCGCCTATACACGAGGGAGCAATATCCAAAAGTGGTTTTCATCGTTCCCAGTCCTTTCTATACATGTATGCTCTTCTTCCCCGTCCCCCATCCACCCCTCCGATGCGTCTCTGACGCACTTGGGTCTCACTTCCCTACTACATATATATATATACTCTCGCCCCCCCGGCCCCTCCTTTGACTATTTTTTCATCCTATCGCGCGCGGAGCTTTTGCTTGTCACACGCGCCCACACTCGATACACTTAATGACGAATCACTTTAGCGAGTGGGTGAGGGGTGCGTGTAGTTTTTTTGTTTTTTTTTTTTTTTCCTATCGAAAACGCCTCCCCCATGTAGGTACGTCGATTTTTCTTCTTCCGTGCGACAACGACGCGAGTTACAAATTTTCACTTTCCGCGTGCCCCCGCGGTGCGTTTGAGATTGATGACGATGCCAGCCGAGAGGGCATGTATATATACACTGTTGTTAACTCGTCAGCTATAAAAAGTATCGATGCGAGTGACGAGTGTTTGCTGTCATATTTTGGCAACTAATGTGTTTTAACGAGTTGGGAAGCAAAGTTTATAAATATACATCATCACCTACAACGTGAATTATACCATGCACCAGATGGGAGAGACAGAGGAGCTGCTGGAATTCACAACCATACAAATCCTTGTGTGATTCTCAAAGATGGATAATTAAAAAATGAGATGTGACAGCGAAAACAATAAGAAGCCAGTATTGTTGATTAAAAACAAGGCTTTGTACGTGCATACGAGGTGAAAAATAAATAAATCAATGAGCGAATAATGAAATATTACATTGTATGTGGTGTAGTCATAAAAGTGACACATTAGTTCAATACCATCCCTCTTTTTTGATTTTTGTAACATAATACACTTTATACACCCACACAAGTGCCAGCACGCGATGAAGGAAAGAAAGAAAAGTTGCTCCTAGTAGGGAGGGGGTGCGAAATCACGGGAAATTCCTTTGAAACGTGTTTTAGCCATCCTACAAGCGAAAGAAGAAAAGGAAAATCACCTCGTGGACGCCCACTAGCTGTCGCTTCTACACTGGCGATGGAAAAATCGAACAAAGCGTCGCATCCACGTACTTTTCATCGTCGTCGAATTAGTTTACTATTGTGCGGAAAAGGTGCTACTGGATCGTAAATACATTTCAACGTGGTGGTTCGAAGGGATGGGAAAAAAAAAAAAAAAAAAAAAAAACTTTCCCGCCGCACAGCAGGGAAAAGATGCGTCGATAAAAAAGCGATCTCAGCAGTTTTCGCGAGTTGAGGAGCAGCGGGGGACAAAACAAAGGCAAAAGAAAGATGACGAAGACGAAGGGGAAGCTGCCATTACCCCCCTTCAAATTTATAGCTCCGGCTTTTGTCATATCTCGCCGATATTTCAGACGCGTCCTCCTCCTCGCTTTCTAAACTCTACTAGCGCAGTGCCCATGTATATACGTAAGACAGTTCTGGTGTATACGGCGGAGCTCCGTGAAAGGCGACTCACGTTATCCAGCCTCGAGGTACGTGTCGCGAATCCCACTCCCCCCATTTCGCCCTTCGGCTTCCTTCGAGAGCTCCTGCAGATGCAGGACATGCCCTCGGCGAAATTTTAATCGTGCCTGGCATGCGCGAGCACCACCCCCCTCCCTGCCTTACGTCTCCGTCACTCGCACGCTTGGCTACGTCTATCTGTCTCTCTGCACAAATATACAGCTTTTGGTACAGGTCGCGGGCGTCACAAAGGAACGACGTGACGAAACGAAACGCCGCTGCCAGCTGCTGCCGTGGCAAAACGTCCCGCTCACACCTCCGCCGGCCCCCCCCCCTTTTTTTTTTTTTCATCGTGGATGAGCCAAAGAAACAGCCGGGTTCATTACTCGTATCGATTTCGGCGCGAATGCGATTAGACCTGCGAGATGTCAAGTGGATTTTGCTGCAGTAGCCCCAGGGGCAATTTGGACGGGCTGTCGTTGGGTGTAATATGTAATAGGAGCTGTCGCGTTTAGTCGTACCCCGAAAAAGCTGTTTTCCATATCGGCTCGCGAGGACCGGATCTGGGGATGAGGACACTATTTTTTTTTTTAATGACGATCGACAACAACAAAGTCGCCGTCCATTTGTCGACAATTTTTTATCACCGTTAATAAAACACGGTTGAGCGTCTCGCGAAAAACTTTTAAGTGCACCCTCGTACGCGCGTATATACGAGCCCCTTTTGAGTATTTACACTACTTTTCCTGTTAATAATTTTCCCCCCTCCCAACTGGCCCATGTTTCATTTGCCGCCGCAGTCAACTTTTCTCTCTGTACCGCCGCGTAATGCGCTCACACGAACTTTTCTTTGCCGGTAAAACGCAAGTTTCCCCCCTTGGAGGCACACTTGGCGATCAACGAGCGGCAATTTCCCCGCCAACTCGGTCAACGGCTCTTCTCGGCTAAAATCAACGCGAATAATCGCAACAACGACGGGGTGTCGTCGCATACACAGAAATTGTCTCATCAACGTCACGAATAGCGTACTTACCTCGGGTTACCGCGCAGAGCCGCGTGATGCAGGGCGTTGAAGCCATTGTTGTTGGTGAGGGTGATGTCAGCCGCGTGGTCCAACAGCAGCGCCAGCATGTCGTCGCGCTTCTTGGATATGGCGTCGTGGAGCGGCGTGTCCCCTTCCGAGTCCTTTGTCGTGACGCGCACCGGAAAATAAATTTAATATGCCATCATTAAAAATTGCCATCCTTCGAGCCGTTTGCGCTTTCACAGTATTATATTATTGTATATTATACATTATGCTGTATTATTGTAAAATTCACGCTGATTTTTTTTTCGTGCGTTCGCTTGAATTGAATTGAATATATGCATCAGGCGGAATGAAAAACGAGGCACCATCATCCTCGAGGAGGTATGCGTGCCGGGGATTTCATTTTCCCCTCCATCAAATTCACGGATAGGTAGAAAAGATTTCGCTCCGGGTTTTCGAAATGGCAACGGAGTCGTGAGAAGTAGAGCAAAGGGGAGCTATGAAGCTGTACACGTATGTAGTGCATCACGGGAGGGATGTACGGAGAAAGCCCCAGGAGCGTTTAGATTGCCGTGCACGATGCCGAATCGGGGGGAGGATTTTCCCGGGGTGCGCCTTATTCCCCGACTAGTTAAGAAGTGTAGCTTACCGGGCTTACCTCTATCGAGAGAGGAGGGGGGGGGTTTAGACCATACACCTCTATACGGCTCTGGGAGTTGGCTCTCTGTGGAAAAAGGAAAAAAAAAAAAGGGGGGGGGCAGAGAGCAGCCAAGCGAGAGCGACGAAGGAAATCCGCTACACGTCGAATGGGAGTCTGGGAGATTAAAGTATTTGCAACTGCGCGCGGAGGACAGGCTGGTGGAGGAGTGCCACCCTTTAACCGGTGCAGCGCGTGAAAAGCTCTTGCATTATGTGCGTGCGCCCCAGACTTTCGAAAGTCCTCGGCGACTCTTCCTCTTGTTTTTTCGTCCAACCTGTGAAAGGTACTTTTTTTAAAATATTTTTGCGGCAAAGGAGCATTGTTCGCTCGGTGAATTCATGAATTCGCTTGTGATGTGGTGTAACGGCTTTTCGAGTCACATCTGCCCGGGCTTTATAAACGAAGAATACAATGGCACTGTTGAGTTTTCGGGAACTGGAAAAAAGAAATTTTTTTTATTTTTTCATATAAATCATAAATCCGAGGAGTGGCTTCAATTAGCATTTTATATTCGCATCGGGCGAGAGATAAATCGCGTTGTTGGGACCAAGGAGCGTTTTTCTTGAGAATAAGGCCGTGAATTATTGCGCACTTGTGAAGCGAATATTTATCGCGGCGACCCGGCTAGCGTTTTATTCCCGAGAATTTTCTCCACCACTCACGACTGGCTAGGAGAAAAAAAAAAAAAAAAAAATTCCGTCGTCCCAAGCTGCTCTTTGTTATTCTCCTCGGCTGTTTTTTAACCGTTGAAACGAGATTGGTCCCAAAAAATCTCTGCGCGTGATGATTTTCCGCTCAATTTGCAAGGAGCGTAGATTTGGACGAAACAAAAGAACCGGCACACGAGTATCAAAGTCCCATTAACGGGGGGTAGGAGCGGAAAAAGCGTCTGGAGCGTGAAAAACGCCGAAACGATTATTCACGATAGTGCCAAGTTTTGAAATGAGATTTAACGAGGTGCAGGAACGTGTGCTTACAGTACAGGTGAAATCCGTAGAGGGAATAAAAAAAAAAACAACCAGCAAAGGTGTGGCAGCAGCAGCTCGACGCGAGCTTAGAATGCCCGTAAAAAATGGCTGCTTCGGATTAAGAGGATTTGGCGGAGCCGTTATCAGGGTGAAATGCTCGTCGTCGTCGTCGACGCCGCTGGAGAAGCTAAATGGATGGCTGAGAGCGAGCCGAGGTAAAAGCCAGGCGAATAAGACGGACCGCCGAGGGTGTATTTTATATATTTTTATAATATCTCCCTCGCACCTGGTCCCTATTCTCACGGCGTCTCGAGAAAATCTGGTGCGCTTTATCACTGCGGATATGGCCCATTTCAGCGCTGGTTCGAGTAATTTTTACAGCATCACGGTGCAAATGTGCTAGAATGTTGCGTTGAAGATTTTTGTAACGAGATTTACACGAAATATACCCTTAGAGGCTTTTTTTTTTTTATTATTATTATTAGTAATGAAATTTTATACGAACAGGAAACTTGGGAACGACTGTTGAGAGCAAGTAGTTTAATCACTCATTGGTCAGACGTGTGCATATGTATGTAAATGCAAATATTTACAATATTTTATAAAATTGATAATTTTTAGTTAGTACTTGATCGTAAAAATCAACCCTGATATAGTAATACTTGTGTTGCATTTGTTAAGAGTGAAATATGTGTACAAAATCTGCATATTACGTACTCATGAAAAAGTAAATTTTTTGGTAAAAAAAGAAAAATCTGTAAAAGGGAAAATACGAATTTCTTCTCCAAAAGAGAGATTTTTCACAGCTTACTGAAATGAAGTACGTCACTCACCTGCAGACTAGGATGACAACCAAGTTCCAATAGGGTGCGAACGACTCCCGCATGCCCTTTGTTAACGGCCATGTGCAATGCGGTCTGGCGTCTTTTATTTCGCGCGTTTAAATCAGCTCCAGCCCCAGCCAGTAGAGCCATTACAGCCGGCTCATCGCCAAATGCGGCGTGATGTACCGCCCTGTCGCCGTCTTTATCCTGAAAAATTATTGCAGCACAAAAGATGTAGATTTCAATTTTTTAAATAATTTGCAAGACGGATAGTTGGATTTTTTTTCATCAAAGTTCAATTCACCTCTATTTCAACGTCTGCTTTGCACTTCAAGAGAACTTTTATCACGTCCAAGTGTCCGTTTTGGCTTGCTGCTTGCAACGCAGTGTGACCAGAGAAAATACCGTTTACGTCGGCCTCTGGACGCTTCAAAATTTCTTCACATTTCGTAGAATCACCGTTAGCAGCCGTTTTTACCAATTCTTCGTTAACATCACTCGATACATGAGTTTCAAATAACTTTTTCAAAAGTGCAGAGAGTCGTTCTGGAGAAGAGGAGTACGAGTGTTATTATTTTTATCAGCAGTGCAATGTTTTATTCGGCGATAAGAATACGAACCACCACTGCTGTTTCCTGGTACACTGCCATCGCTGCTTGCCACTTTTTTTACAGCTTGTGGATTATACGTCCAAGATGTACTACAGACTTCTACTTTTAAATCTCCATCGTGATAGATTTGTTGAACCCTCCCAATTTTTCCTAAGGTCTTCAAACGAAAATCATTGAAATGAGTTATTGTCTATATTTCAGTTTTTAGTGAGCTCTAAAAAAATCAACTTACTGGAGCCATTGCTTCTGCCCATTCTCCATGGCCTCGTTGCAACAGTTTTATTTTATCCAAGTCACTACAAATTTGTACCAAGTCTCCAACAGCAAAGGCCTGATTGTCCGAAGTAGAGCTGGCTTCCGGCATAGATATTTGAACTTTTGTGAGAACTGCTGGATTAAATGTCCAACGATTTCCACTTGGGTAAGAAACCACGATGTCATGGTCTTCATCTATACCAACTACAGTGCCAGTGGCACTTAGGCACTCAAACATGCCATCAGTCCATCCTCCATGTCCTTGTTGAAGCGTATCAACTATTTCGTACTCCAAATCGACATTGACCTATGAAAAATACATGTTTGAGTAAATGAAGTTATTTAAAATCATAAAAATCTAGTATACTTTGTATACACATCGTACCTGATCTCCTATTTGGAGACCATGAGGTCCAGCACGTCCAGGTACACCTTGTTCTCCCAGCAAAGGTAAGTGATCTTTGTAAACTGTTTGGCCTTTTGCATCATTTACAACCTTCAAGTCAGCCTGTAATCGCCAGTAAACATCTTTAAACTCAATTACCATGAAATCAATTGTTTGAAATGAAAATACACGTACCATGCCTTCGAAACCAACACGATATAAATTTTTGGCACTATTATCCCAAATGACATAGGCAGCAGAACGCGGGCTTGCAGCAGACCAATCTTGGATCTCATTAACTTTACCTCTACGACCATTGCCACCATCCTGGTCTTCCCATTGCCAATCAACACCTCTGACGACTCTGGCTCCAGGAAATATACCTCGTGTGGCAATCTATAAAACACAATGAATGAATAATGATTTGCGAAAACACTAATGTACATGCAATAAAAGCGGCATATGAGTTACCTTTTTGCTCTTTCTTCGCGGTTCCAAAAGTACTCTTTCACTTCCAGGCATGGAAATCCTGTAAAACCTATGCCTTAAATGGTGTTTGTCTCCGTGATAACAAATAGAACACAGGTCGTAATTATTGCACTCGGCACACTTCCACCTGATGCCAAATATTGGCTGCTGTCTACAAGTATCACACATGGTTCCGTCGTGCTTCACACCAGTGGGTGCTGAGTCCAAAATTCGCAAGTCAAAGGCTCCGGAGCATCTGTAATTGGCTGCTGTGCCATTGTCCCAGACAACAACTACTTCTTCTGGCGATTCAAAGTTTCTCACTGTACCCACATGTCCCTCACCACCATCCTAAAAACAAATAGCAGTTATTGTTAATAATCTCGTTTGAATGATATTTTTATTTGAAGTATGACACATGATTGTCAATAGACTCGGACCATACAATAAATAAACAAAACGTCCAACACGCAAAACGATTCACGGGGAACAGAATCAATCAAATTTGTCAAATAAATCCTGAAGAACGAAAATGGATGACAATACGTATTGGGAAAGTTTAGAAAAAAAAAAAAAAGGAGTCCAAGCTATAACCTATCGTCAACTAACCTGCTTGCCCCATTTCCACTCGGGGCCACGGATAACCCTGGCACCGACTCCGTCCATCATAAACCTGGTCTGGCGTGTGCCCGTGCTCGCGCCAGCTTCCATCGTTGACGCTGATCAGCTGTTCCCGTTTTGCGGATGCGAAATTTTGTTGAAAACAAATAAGGAGGCTATCGTTGCCCCTCTGCCGTCCTACGCTCTGGGCTATTTTGCTTTTGCACGACTTTAATACGGACTATTGTGATGAATTCACACATGCACACACACACTTGTCAGAAATTTATATATAGATATAGGGCGCGTGTAACGCAAATTTTCAGCTGCTGATGGTAAAAAGGTATCAAAAAAATGTTTTTAAATTATTTTACTAATCGAATTAAAAATTAAAAGTTAACTTTTGGGGTGGATTTTAATAGTGGTTTCACACATTTTTAAAGGCTTCGTTCGTAACTACTTCAACTATTGGTCCCCCACATTGATTTTTTTCGCTCTGCACAGGTACATTTTTTCCTTACACGAAATTTGTTTGCGTCGTTCGTACGACAAAATAAGAAAAATAATATAATCCAAATAACTATACCTGTAATGCTACAGAATGCCACAATTTTTTATTTTATTCGATTTGAATCTCCCGCTCTAGCAGAAGTGAGAAAAATGTGCAGGACATTCACACATGTATGTATACACACATGCATAAGTGAGGAGCAGACTACAAAGTCAACAGCAACGAGTTATAACGCTAACCTCTACGAAATTATACATTACTTAGACTCAATTAAGTTATATTTCCTATTTAATCAATTTTTAAAAGTTGTCAGCTCGTAGTGTTTAATTCATATTTATTTCATCATGGCTTTGAAAAATTCCAATCGGAATTCTCTATCAAAATCAATCCTGGAGATGAAAGTAAGTACCCATTGAGTCTTTCTAATATTTCAGGTATTTTTAACAAAATGAATTAGGTTATACGATGAATTTGATTTATATATTTCTGAAATGTAATTTTTAGTTTATGAAGAGGACAAAAGAGAAGGTAGAAGAGCAAGCGTACCAAAAAGAGGGAGAAGAGTACTTTGGTAGAAAGGGAGTACCAAAACGTGCGTATGTATCACACAAGTGTTTAATTATTCAGTCATCAAAATATAAATCGTGAATAAATTATAAATGTTGATATGTTCAAGTGGGAAATTCATCATTGAAGCAAGTTTTGCTTTCTGCGAAGAGTTGATCGATGGAAGGATGAGCTTCCAAGGAGAAAATCCCGAAATCGAGAGGATAATGGAGCTGGAAGGCATGATGAAAAATATTAAGAAAGTTGACCAAGCCAATGAAATGGATATATCGGATGCTCAGATGGCTAAGTTTTGGCAGACGACGCATAAAATAAATGTCAGAAACATTGGCGTTAAATCTGAAAGGGAGGACAGTGCAGCGGATGAGCCAAAAAGAAAAAGGCCGAAATTTTTGAAGCCAGCTGACGACGACATCTAGTATCGGTGTATTTTCTTTGGATTGTTTTGTTCTGGTAGCGAATGTGTGTATGGACGATTGTGTACAAAATACGATGAATGATGTGACAAAGATTGAACTATTTATGTGCAGCGATTTATTTGAAATGCATTTGAAACATTTGTTAAGAAATTAATGTGTTTTACACTTTTATTTATTAAAAATTCACCCATAAACTCCCCAAATATAGTTAACAATTAATCGCAACGAGTTTACTCTAAAATAATGAAAATCGATCATTTATAAAAAAAAAGAAAAAGGGATAACATATCCTAAGACGTTAATTACGACACCTTCGGTACCGACATTGTGGTTGAGAAAATTGACAAGCATTAGCCGGCCGCGCCACCGCAGTTAAAAACCGTACAAAGTTCCATCCGCAAAGTTCGCCAAACAAAACACGCACGAGCGCCGCAGAGGGTAAACGCGTTGGTCGAGTTGCACCACAGAAGAAAATGGCCACCATCTGTCATTGCGCTGACGGCTAAGGACTCGTTGTAATTGTAAAGGAAGGACATTGCAAATTGGTTTTTCAAATCGTGTTTTATCGTGTTGAGTAGCCTTCTGAGTATTCGTCGACATCTTCCAACAACAATACATAGTTGTAGAAAATCGTGTAATGCTCGCGTGAGTTTCGTGGTACGCGCGGGGCTGATATGTTACATTGCTGCTAGCCACCCATTTTTTTCTCGTTCCCTCTCTCTTGCGCTCACTGCAGTTAAAGAGAAAAACACGAGCATTTAAATGTGATAGTGTACCTAATATGTGTGTAGTGTAGAGAAAGCATAAACAGCACAGCTTCTGTACGTGCACGAGTGGGAAAATAGAGACGGCGACATTTAGTGAATCAGAAATTAAAAAACATCCGAGTTTGGCATTAGAATCATCAGCGTTTTGCGTCCTACATTGGAAATATCTGCGAAAAGAAGCCGGAGGGTACCAGAAACACGAAGCCGAGGAGAGGACGAGGCCAGAAAACAAAGAAGTGCTCGTCGTGTAACGCAGTAAGTGAATGTATATAAAAAAAGAGCTCCTTCTTTACTGTCCCGTGCCTAGAATCATCATCAGTGCGCGTGTTTACCTTGTTCATCATCGTAGGAGTGTGTATACGTATTGTCATCGTGCATACAAACACTGCGCACATTTCCTTTCCGTTATATTACCATCAGGATCATTTAAAAGTATAGGTGATGCAGCATATCCAGGCAAGGAAGCAAAAAGAGAAGTTGCATCCAATTCAACCCCTCGTCCTTTAGTTCTTACTACCCTATATAAAAGTATCCTGTACCCCAGCAAGCTTCATCGTATACTTTACAAGCACTTGTCAGTTTTCTTGGTACATCCCTATCTATACCTATACATACGCGTGTGCGTGCGTGCTCCGGGGCCCAGAATACATCTCCCGTCCGTCCCCTCGAGCTGCAGCGCGCTGATCAATAATTTTCGTTCGAGGCTCTCAGGCGCCCGCCTCCTCATCTGCAGGGCAGCACGTACATACATACACACATTTTGTAATAGTAGTACAGTAATCGTAGTGGTAGACAACATGTTGTGCGTATAATATAGATGTATGCTCATATATATATATATACGTACGGGCTAAAAAGGGCCGTGCATGTGCGCCCATCGTCGTAGCAGCCGCCCCCTCACCCTCGCGCGCTAGCTCCCTGGGCTCCCCCCTCACACCAGACCCCTGGGCTCGACTCTCCCCCCCCGACTCCCTCTCGAGACGGCCCCCTTTTTTTTTTTTATGTATATACGTACAGCCACATACACCTACATTTGCGCGTCTCTCTCTCGTTTCGTATACAAAATGCGTCAGTTATCGAGCTCTCGTCGTTCACGCAGTGATATCGCACGACACGACCAAGTAAAATAAAGAAGAGAAAAATATATAAAACAGTGGTGGCAGAGGGAGACTCGGTTTGGGTACGGTAGCAGCTCGATTTACCACACACATTTTCGACCCTTTGCAGCAGCAGTCGCGGGGATTGGGCAGGATCTATATACCTACGACCTTTTTTTTTCCTCTCCCTCGCACACAACACGCGAACGAGCGACTGGCCTGGCTCCCCTGCTGCTCCGATATCTTTCATATATACGTATACGCTGCTGCATACTTAGTCACTCGGCACTTTCGGCCCTGTTCGATTTTTCCATCGATGGCCTGATGACTGCGTAAGATTGTCGTCGTCGACGCGCCTCCATACACACAACCAGCACCAGTATCATTAACCTATTAGGTATTGCTGCAACGTTTGCTTGGATAAACTAAATCTTCTTGCGACGTAGTTTTTTTGTTTCATTTTCAACGTAAATTTTTACATTCAAGTGATTGTAATTGTAAGTTTGTTTGTAACGAAGACTGTCTGCTCTCTTTTCAGGCAAACATCATGGGCTCCAGCCAACAATTCTCCCTTAGGTGGAACAATTACCTCAAGCACATCACCTCCGCGTTCGACACCCTCAGGACTGATGAAGATCTCGTGGACGTGACATTGAGCTGCGAGGGGAAAAGAATCCGGGCCCACAAAATGCTTCTGTCAGCGTGTAGCACATATTTTCGAGACTTATTCAAGGTACGAATTTTGCCTATAATTTCCCTGTGTGTTTTATTGAAGAATCTTGATCAAATATCATCATTGATTTTGCAGGAAAACCCCTGCCAGCATCCCGTAATCATATTTAGGAATGTCAAGTTTGATGATTTGGCTGCTTTGGTTGATTTTATTTATCAAGGTGAAGTTAATGTTGTGCAAGAACAATTGGATAGTTTTATGACAACAGCTGAACTGTTGGCTGTACAAGGTCTTACGGATGGTTCCAGGAAAGATGACTGTTTGATGGAGGTTTGTATCAAATACAAATTTTAATACTCTCTAAAATATACTTACTAACATTAATTTGTTTTTAGGAGGATATTGAAGTTCCCAGTGAACCAGAAGTACAATTAAGAAATATGTCTGGTAGAATAATGACAAATGATAGGGTAAGAAAATCACCAGGTTCGCCGTTGCCATATTATAATACAGATTCTCAGAAAGCCGAATTACCACCAAACAAGAGAAGAAGGTGTAAAGAAAATTCAAATGCACATTCAGAAAGAAACAGGCACATTTCTTCACCCAAGGATTCTGACAAATCTGATGGTCAAGTAGCTGATCCAGTTGAAATAATTCCTCTGATGCCGAATTTAAAATTGGAAATGCCGGAGTATTTGGAACAAGACGGAAGCAGTTGTAGTTACGAAGAGCAAAGTACGGGCGACAATTCAAAAATGTTGGATGACAATCCGGAATTGATAGACAGCGATCACAAGCCAGAAATCACGCAGACCTTTTATTCCAATCAATCGACGGACAATTTGGATGCGACTAAATCATCTGACTTAGGTTCATAATTGATTCATTTAAAAGATCAGGCGTTAACATGTTTTTTTCGGTGGGTTAATAATTTAAACAAATTTTACAGGGTATTTACTTTCTAAACCTGGAACGAGTTCAGGTGACAGGATATCTCACGAATCACTCCAAGGTGAGTTTGCCAAAACTAATTTAAACTTAACATATGACAGTTGTTGCTATTCATGGTTCTTTTCTCATTTTAATCACAAAACTACGTACGCAAATATCATTGAGTGGCAACTACTGTAAATATTACGTTACATTCTTGTTGCATCAAACATTTTTAATTATTAAAGTAAATTTTTAGAATGCAATTCGAATGTAACGTACATTTAAGATTCCATAGTCGATAGAAAGTAATAATTTTCTTAAATACTTAATCACTTGAATTGGACATGAATCTAGTAGCTGAATATTGGCGATGAAACCGTAAAGTATCAAATTTACCTTCAGAAACTTAAAAAAGCTAGACCGTGAACTTTTGCAGTTTACAAAATAAAGAATTTGAATGGTCCATTTTTTTTTGGAGTTAGTTTAGTGACGTTTAATTTCATATATACTAAAATGCTATGAGTGCAACTGGTAGATTCACGTTCATTTTCTCAAACAAGCTTTCCTTTTCTATGGAGTATGGATTTTTCAAATTATTCTTGAAATGTATCATAATAATGAGTATCTACTGTATTAGTAAAGGGGTAGTTAGCTAATAAAAACTCACTCATTAAAAATTAAGTACAATGGCTTTACAGCCTTTGCAGCTTTGCATTATCATACTTGCATACGGTTGAATCTGGTACTACAATTGGGTTATATTAGAAGCAATAATAAATTAATTCTTTATTATTGTTTCAATATGGACATAATTTTCCATAGGCTCTCTAAGATATGTTTATTTATAACATTTGCCACATCCCGTGAACTTGATTTCTTTCTCATCTACGTTGTTGTTATTCATTTATGAAACTTTTTCTAAAATATCGAGCTACAAAGATAACTGATTTTTTATGCTAATAATTATAATAAAGAATAGTTTTTATGGTTGTAATATAACTAACTGCTAAAACTTTTAGAGTCAAATTGATTGATTAAATTTACATACTAGTAAGCACAATTTTTTAAAATCAAATAAAATGTACACGTTAATTTTCTTTTAAGTTTCATAAAAAGAGCAACACTTTTTTTTTTACTATGCCTGCTTTTTCTTCTCTGTGTTTCTTAAATTAAGATATTCAGTATAATTCAATCAGGTTCACTGTAACACATTACATACAATGGAAAATACAGATAAAAATTGACTAGCGATTATAACACGGCACTTGTCTGTTGCAAGCTCTTTTTCCTCCGTTGATTTTTATAAATTGATTCTTATATTGTGTTTTGAGAGCATGGATTTTTGGATGTAAAAAAATCTTGTGTGGTGACCATATAATCAGGTGTAGGTTGATTTGTAGTTTTTAGTTGAGCATTGCCAAGTGCTGTATGTGTGCCGACAATCACTAATGTTCCTTCTATATGATTTTTCGATGAGGCAACCACTGTTTTAAAATTTTTTTTTTATTTATAAAATTACAATTACATCGTAATGAAAACATTAACGCTGTTTTCATAATAAACGACTGCAGCTTTTTTTAGACCTTTCAAGTTATCGTTCTGATTATTTGAAACAACACTTTTTTTGTATTATATAAGTGTGTAAAAAAAAAATTTTCAGATGTAGAGAAACTTAAAAAGAAGCTATATCAAATCGTACTATATTTGTATGAATCAAACAGACCCATGATAAAAATATTACTTATTGTTAACATTCTGTAATGTGAAATTTAAGTTGTGCTGCAAAGCACGGCTCATGCAGTGGTTTTGTGTCCTCAGGCGTAAAAGCACTTTTGTTGAAAAAATTTTCTACCTCAACTTTTTCATCTTACGCACCTGCAAATGTATTATGGTGGTGGTGAGACTGGCATGCGTGCGTAATTTTGTATCCTTACGTAATTTGTTTCTAATAAGGCTGTATCTATTCTGTACGAGTAAATTAATTAATCTTATTCTATAACGTTGGTAAGTACATTGATGAGTTAGCAACGATTGAGCATGAAAATTTAGCTTGTGTAAAAATATCTAATCAAAAGGCTTGTCTCCGATTTCAAGTTAGACCAAACTAGTGATGTCCTATTGCAATTGATAAACAATGTTAGACCCAGACAATACATTATTGTTAGTGTCCTCATTTTTTTCTCATTTTTGTACCAGCATAGTTACCATAGTAATGTAAAAAAAAAAAAACAAGCGTTGTTTCTTAACTCTAAAAGTGCAACTTTTACTATTACAACTCCAGTTTTGTTGGTCACCAAAGTAATTAATTATCTCAACACAATGAGATTTATTAAATTTCATATGAAAACAACAGCAAAAAATAACAAGATTCCCAAGCCACTTGAACTTTGCACAATTGAAATCTTGTTTACTTATTGTTTATAAATAGATTGGGGATATTCTGTCGTTTGTGAGTACACTCTTACAGTAACTGATGCGTATGTATTTTTTAAACAAATTATGTACGTTTACATATGTTGAATATTAGGTATGAAATTTGACCTGATAAAATAAATACATAGCGTAATAAACCAGTAAATGCAATATGGCTACATGTACTAGCATCGCAATTTGTGCATTTGTTTTTTTTTTTTTTTTTTTTTTTTTNAAAGTCTTTTTTTTTTTTTTTTTTTTTTTTCAATTAATTCATAAAAAAAACTTATTCTTATTGTCATCCGTTGTCATTGCAATAAACAATACGGGTAGTTGTGATATTAAAAATATTGCACTTTTAGGTTTAGACATAATTATTGTTCACGTAGTTTTGTTGTGTTAAAAACTAAGATATCAATCCGATGTATTTTTAAATAATTTTATTACGAGTAGACCGAAAGTGAGAGAAATATCTTGTTGAAAAATCACTGCGAGATTTACAGTAACGTCAAAAACAATCGCATGTCCATACCTAGTAAAGTTGATATAAATAATATGCCTCTTTAAGTTCACTGTTACGTACTGAATATATGAGTACTTGTAACGGCATATAATTTTTCCCGCTTATCGCCATAATCTCACGTGATTATTTATGAAATGAAAAATTGAAACGTTTCATTCAACTGTTTAATGCATAACCACATCCGATTCGAATACTGTAAAAGTCATAATTACCACGAAAAATCTCACAGCACCTTTTATGAGAAATTTCTCTCTGCGTCCCGAATTTTCAATAAAAGCCAATTCACTATTGTAAACATTTTTTTTTTTTAATTCCAAAGCACCGCGCCGTCGTGCTGATCTTCTGTAAAATTTTTTAAGCATCGACCAGAGCATAGATTTTGTAAATAGACGGATACGATCGATTATCCAAGGTATACCGTGATGCGAAGCATACCATCAGGAAATTAGAGGTTGCGATGCTCGAATTTCGAAAAATGTAAATTATCCTCTATATGTACGATTAGGGGAGTGGGAAAAATCAATGACGATTTTTGCTAACAAGTGTACATGGATACACAAAAGGAAGCAGCACAACGAGCTAGCACCTGGCAATGCTAAATTGTGGGTATTGGTGACTAATATCTATAACTCAGTAACATTAACAAAAACGGACTTGTCCAGGGTTCAATGATTAGTTGACGCGAGGTGGCGAGGGGCAACGAAACTAACTGGCTACTATGCTGCTCTGTATGCATGATATACCTTTGTACATAATTAAGCACGAGTAGAACGCGAGGCGAGAAAAAAGCGAAACCGATGATGGTGGCGCGGAGAGAATGAAACGAAGAAAAAAAAAAAAAAAAAAAAAAAAATAGTCCATAGTTATGGCATCTGGTGCGCTTTAAGCGTTGACTATGGTTGGTGTGTCTGTTGTCTGCAGCAGGAGGAGGTTTGGCGCTCGTGTCCGGCCAGCCGCACAGCCTCAGCAAGGCAAACGGCCACGGCAAGGTGTGCGTGCACTGCAAGCGCCGTGGCGTCCTTACGTCCCGCGGCAAGCTCCGGCAGACGCGTTTCAAGTGCTGGGCCTGCAATGCCTGCCTGTGCCGCTGGCCGTGCTTTGCCGACTTCCACAAGCTAAGATCTATACCCCACATTCCGTCCATTTAGCCTCAACCTGGTGATCATGTAGTAAATCGGTAATGTTACTTATGCGCCGGGCTGCCAATGTACTGTTCGTTTACCGCACTGATTTTGCCACTATACGTATATCATGTACGTTGGCGTTCATCAGTCGCTTGTCGCTTCACATTGTCAAATATTTTTTTTTTTGCCGATACCCACAGGACAAATGCTTTGCAAATTCCGTACGTTATCGTGGTTGAATTGTGGAAAACCGTTAAGTTCTTATGAATCATGAGTTTACGCCTCAGCCATCTGATGAAGAAAAAATTACTAAGTATTGATCGTGTCGTATCAAAACCACTGGTTTTTGGTCCAGTTGCTACGTAATTAAAAGTACGCCGGTTTGACTTAGCAAACGAATTTATTTTTTAATGTATTTGATAGTTTTCATATTTTAAAATCGGAATTTGATTGTAGATGGAGGTATCGTTTATTGATTGTTAACAATTAAAAAAAAAAAAAAATGTATTTACTTCAAACAAGAGGAGTCTCTTGTAATTTTTTTTTATGCGTGGTTTTTTTTGAAAAAGTTTAGAAAAGCCATTGACTGGTATTGCGCACATTTCGCTTGTAAAAGTTATACATTTAAATAAAATTTAAGAGTCTCTTTTCACCTTGGTGTGTTGATATGCATATCTCTTCACAATAGTAAAGCTTGAAAAAAACTTATGTGATCTAAATAAATACAATACTTTCGGGGTGTGCACGTTTCTGCAAGGCGCGAGTTTTTGGGTTTAAATAGTGAAAAAATTTCCTAGCCGATTCTTACAAGAGATATTTTTTTCACTGTCTGAGACTTGATTCTCTAATCTTGGTATAGAATATAGGTGATGAAATAACGTATCGAATCAATAAACGAAGAGATAGCTTCTTCCCTCAAAAAGTTGGATATTCAGTTTAATCCAGAATAGAAACTTGTGTGACTGTTTAAAAAAATACACAAACTTTAAATACTAATCATTGTGTCATAAAAAAAAATTTTTTTTATGTACGTTATGAGGGATGTCAATATTCAGTTAAGAAGTACAGTAACAATCCAATACATAATAAACATTTAATTCCTCTTCCAAGTCCATTTTAATTACTATCCTTGAAGATCGTCAAATTTAAAGAAAAAAATTTTGAACTGTTCATAACAATATTGTATTAATAAATAATGCGGTATCTATGATTGAATATGATTAAAGTATCGACCCCAAAAATTCAGATTTAGACTACCAAGATTATGAAAAAAAATTAAAGATTCGTTTGCTAAGTAAAATCATGTGGCCACGAGATTTTTAATTTGGTAAATGCACTAAAAAGTCATAGAATTTGCTTCGCAGGTCCCTCGGGTTGCAAAATATCCCCGGTGGCGATGGCGCTTCTGCGACGAAAACTATTACTAAAGTATTAACGTCTTATAAGTGTGAGCAATTAACTTAAAAAGTTAAAGTAATTTTTAAGTTTTATGTACAAATTTATATTTTGATCTTATTTTTATAAACCCGGTGAATTTTTAAAAAGTATTAGATTTTGTCAATAAATATATTTTCAAGAGCATTAACCTTGGAATATGTTAGATAGAGTATTATGTAAATATTTAAATTAAATCTTATAAAGCTTATACTATGTATATCGTATAATGTGTATGATATAGGCTATATTTTTGCGTCCAAGTCGGATATTCTATGTTGCGATCGGTATACTTAATTTATAAACGTCTACTAAAAACTTGTAGTATAATTATTTGAAATTTGTGCAATTGGTAATCGATATGGTTAACAATTTGAAACCACTTAAAGTTTATGAAATAAAAAAAATGAGGAACCAAAAAAGCAATAATCTGAAAACAAATTCTGGATTTTGCGTTTCAAGTATTATTTTTATTGACATTCGTATATATCAGTAACATGAAATCAGAGTACAAATTCATTGATCTTATGTAACTTAAGTTAAGATTTATATACTATCGATGAAAAATACTTAGCAAAACAATTTATTGTCTCGTTTTCTGCGGTAAATTTCGGTGTAGACTGATATGTAACCTTACTGGTAACACATATGCGATTTTTGTAACCATTCCTTAGGTACCTATAATTAGTTGAACTTACTCTGTATTTACAAAAAATCTTTCTCAGTAATCAACAAAACTCATACTGCTCATTACTATGTAAGGTGTCGATGGCTATAAAAAATGGGTTGTGCAAGAATGCATTATTGCCTCTTTCATGAATTATGTGTTTGTCATTGGATCGGTTGATACAAGAGTTGCATCCGTTTTTTTGGGAATTTTTCGGGTTGTTGCTTACCACTGAGCCTTTGAATGTGTTCTATCGTCTAATCAGTCTTTATCCTAGCTTTTGCTTTCATGCCATTGATCTTATTACATAAAAAAAAAAAAAAAAAAAAAAAAAAAAAAAAAAAAAAAAACAAGGGAGAAAAACCGCTTTTAAGGTTTGTAAAAAAAAAAAAAAAAAAAAAAAAAAAATATTCTCCTTGATTTAGATTCTCGTACAGTGGTCATCGAACAACCGTCGCATTCTTGCAAACTCTGCGGTAAAACGTTCTGGAACCGAGATTCCATGTATAAGCACATGAACATGCACAAGGGCACGACCCAGTNAAAAAAAAACAATAATCTCGTGCACGTATATGAGAAAAGCTGTATTACAAGCACAATTTGAGCTATATACGTGCGTGCGATTGGTAAAGTTGAAGGTGATGAATTTGAAAAAATGGAACGAAAAACCAACAAACAAACAACACGAAGACGCGTAATGCTGGTGAATGACGATTATCACGAGAGGAAAAAAAAGGGAGAAGAGGTGTTGCAGGTGCTGATGTGGTTTGATGTGTTTATTTATAGAACAGCCAGGAGATGCAGGTGGTAGTTCGGGCCCGAATAATGCCGATTTGGGCGCGTGTGTCGATGATGACGATAACGAACAGAGCTCGGATTCCGAATTAGTGTTTCGCTGTAGGATTTGTTGGAAGGCTTTCAAGCACCCGATATCCTTGACGCTCCACAAGGATTTGCATACGGGTCAGACCAGGTGTCCCATTTGTCAACGCATCTTTAGTCGGAGTTACGATATGAGGGTGCACCTCTTTCGAATACACAAACACCACGATCTGTTGAACGTCGATGCTAAGATAAGCACGTCAAACAGTAAAAAGAAATAACTACTTTCGCTCTGTTGCGGTCTCTTATTTTTACCAATCATCCATTGTTATATACAGTTTTTTTTTTCTTCAAATACAAAAGCTACAGTGCAAGGGGTACGAGTTCTGAAAAGAGCACAGCTTTAACACTATGTTATCTACCTCTTACGTACAGAGTTACAAAAGAGCATAATTTATGCTTGAATGAAAGTAAATTTATTTTAAATAGCGTCCTATGCAAACTAATAATTTTTAACTATTACCCATAAAAAAAAATTTTTTTAATATCTCAGTCTTTCTATTTTTAATGGATACTGTTTGGAAAAGTTGCATAGTGGTACAATCTGAATTATTTAAGCTACCATTGGTAACATTAATAAAACTGATGGAAAGCAATTTTTTTTTTTATCGTTTATACTACTAACTGGGACCAATTGTGATCTCTTTTCAGAACTTTATCCAAATATGGAAAAAAACTTTGTGCCATACATAAAAATCAATAATTTTTAAATTAAGGTACAATTAACAGGGTATTTGTATTTTTCATACGTACAACGTTGTGTCAATATAGACGTTTCCGTAAAAATAAGATACCTATGCGAGAGTTAATTTGAAAGCTGATTTTTCACGCAAATATTTTAAAGAATATTTGAATACCGTACGTAAACAGTTCCTAGATAATAAGAAAACCATAAAACAGTGAAAATGAATAAAGCTTTAAAATAACTGTTATGAGATTGCGATATCACTTTTACTTGTGAAGAATAGCTGAAAGCAAGTCGCGAAGTGCAGTTGGAAAATGTATCGTAAAAATAATTTTGTACATAATATAATTTTTTTTTTTTTATTGTTATTTCTATAAGTGAATAAGTTCTTGAAACAATCTTGAATGAAAACAAAAAAAAAATTGTTGTGTAAACGTTATAAATTACTTCTTCATTTGTTGTTATTTGAAATGCTTAGATCGTTAAATTTAATAATAACCATCATCAAATGATAAAGTATCTTCTGAAGAAAAAAAACAACTTTTTTTAAACTTGTTTGTTTTTTATCATTCGTGAAAAGTTGTGCTTTGATCTAGTACTTAAGAATATTTTTCATTAAATGCTTTAAAAGTTTTGCTCTTTTTATCTTACCACTTTGAAAGTTTCTCGTGATAGACATACAGGACCGATGTGATACAAGCGTTTTAATTTAGTATACTGCGTGCGTACACTGATAAAAAAGTATGAGCCAAGCATGTATAAAAATCACTGAGATCACGAAATATATTTTACTTTGACTACCATTGTTTGATTCTATTGATTGCTCAATGACATCGTTCAATAATTATTTAAGATTTAAGAATTTCGCAATAAAAAAAAAACATAAATGTAATGTTGATCGACATTTTGTCAATTACCGATTTATCAAGCACCACGCGAACCAACCCATACCCGAGGATACAAACGATAAAGTACTTTTACCAGTGAATTAAACAATTTAGCATCGCTTGACGAAACATTTTAATCCAAATTGATTGCAAACCACTGGACTTTCTATTCTATTGTTATTATACATGTATATAAATGTATATACATTGCAGTTGTAATTAAAGTGAAATTAACAAGCTTTTTGACTAAACGAATTAATGATTAATAATGAAAATAACACAATCTAATTCTTACTTGGTGAAAGGCGAATTATATGCTTGTGGGTAAATAATATAGGTACTGATACTGACCAAAAATTTCCGAATCTTAGTCACAATAATGCAAAAGATGATTAAATACGTGTACATACAACACGCACATATATATACTTGCCGGGATGTTACTGCGTCTTCGAGTTAAACAGCTGTTCAAGGCGTATTGATTTCCCGGCCTCGTAGATTTGTACAAGGGACACTCTGCTCTATCTAGATAACCAGTCAATAACAACTCTTAGCTATACTACCCGAAAAAAAAAAAATTCTCTCGATTGAAAAAGAAAATAATGATAAACGTGAAAAAAGAAAAATGTGTGTCAACGGGAAATACTTTGGATTGTGTGCGCAGAGGCGGCGCACGAATCATCGGCACACGGCCGGCATCAGCAGCTAAACCCACAGCCGAAAGTAATCGACGATAGCCAAAGTAGGCCCGGAACGGGTAGCAACGACAACGTGGAAGTGAGGCGGCGGTATCGGTCGCTGCAAGACGAGAACGGGCGCTGGATATGCGACGTCTGCGGCAAGGTGTACAACCGGGGCGACAGCCTGGCCCACCATCGCAGCATTCACCGGGGCGACACCATCTGCCCGATCTGCCAGGCCGTGTTCACCCGCAAGTACACCATGCGCTGCCACATGATCAACGTCCACGGTGTCTTGACCAAACAGTCTCGGCCACAGCCGTCGCAGCTTAACTCCTAAGAACAACACCTATACCGATGAATCGTTGATATTTTTGTACCTGTACGTTATCGTTAGAGACTAGTTTCTTTCAAATTGGGTACTTTGTCCTCGAACCGTGATATCGCCAACAAAAGTGAATGTATGCGGTGCTTCGTACATTAATTCGCGGAAAACGAGCTTTTAGGATTTTTCATTGCATTACTATATGGAGGTATCCCTCTTTCTCACGTTTTTCCACCAATATTTCAAGACTTATTTTTTGTTTGTTTTTTCACTCCAAAACTGTTTTATACTATGACGTAGCATATTGTTTCAAGTATTATATTGTAATATATATATACGTACGTACATACGGTACATATTATGTATGCGAGTAGAGTAGGACTATGTGCATTATGTCGTACCTCCGAGCCAAAAGGAATTTTATACAACCTTTTTCTTTTTTACAAAAGTTTTTTTTAACCGTTTACAGTTTACGTTGTTCCAGCGTTGAACACGTTGGGGAACGATACTAGTGTCATAATTACAATTTGACATTACAAACTTTTCTAGTAACTCGATGTGCTTCGTCTTTTTCGACTGATAATTTTAAGTAGTTTTATACTTAACACGTATGTATAGTTGCACAAAAATGTATTTTTTAAGATATATAAAAGTATGTTTTTCATTAAAATTGCGTAGCTGTAGCATTTTGATTTAAATTGCGTAGCATCTTAGTTGTCCCTTTTTTTTTTTTTTT